CCATCTCTATATAATAAACAAGTACCCTTCTCCATGTTGAAGTTGTGTTTTCTCCTCTTCTTGGTTAAAAACCTTTCTGTGCATCAGGGATTGTGTGTTGATTATGTACACAGTGCCTTGTACAGGCTGTTCTAAAAGTACTGCTTACTTTGGCACATTCAAATTGGGAGTCATATTGGGGTATTTCAAATGATAGACTATCACACTTTAATTGTCAATTGCCTTTTTAGTGGCATATAAAATATAGTCTGTGCTATAATTGATAGTACCTCAGATTCTAGGGAATGAGTAGTAGAGGTAGCTCGATTGTATGCACAGACCTCAGAAAATCAGTCTGACAAAGGGTCTGATGAATACAACCAGAACAGTTTCATTCCAGGGTGAAAAATTGTTAAAATTTTCTATCAATTTTATGTCTTGGTGGGAGTGAGGATAGTTGTTTATGTGAAAAAGATGAAAATTGGATATAGTACTTAGTGTTTTTGATTTTTTGAAGAGAATTATAATTTCATGAATTGCTTTAATTGTTTAATTAATGAATTGTTTATTCTGTCCTTTGGGTGGCTACTACTATCTCCATTAATTTATTGATGAGAGAAATGTGGCATAGAATTGAAGTGAGAGAGATGTATTCCAAAGCTTTGTATCAATTTCAATTCTTAGTTATATTACTCTTTACTCTTCTATACTGGCCTGTTTATGACTTAGATCCCCTAATAAAAGGATTTCTATTAATTATTAAGTTCAAATGAATATTTCACATGGCTAGCATTTTCAAACTTCACTCATATATTTTACTACTTCAATTTTTTTTGTTATTAGAGCTATAGCTTGCTCTACATATGAATGGAAGTTAACATTTCAATTTTTTATCATTTTGTGAAAAACATAAATGTGTGCAGGGGAAACTAATATTTTAGTCTGTTATTTTTGGATTCAGTATCAAGCAGGTACACAAAGTATTCTTTTTTTAAAAAGAAAATTTATAATTTCATGAAATGTCACTACTGCCATGTGAGGAGTGTTTTTCTGAGAACATTGAGCTTGGAGGAGGAATTAAATTTGTTTTGACTTCACTCAGAATTAATAGATACATTCAGAAGTATTCCTGCTTTGATTTGAGTCTTTGGAGGAAAATGAACTGTGAGTGCATGGACTTTTATCCCAACCATGTGTTCTTCTGCTTATCTGTTCTCTCCTGGGTTTTTGATAGTCAGCAATAGAGCATATTCCTCTACCTCTGTGCAGATCTGGCATCTCTTAGACCTCCCCCTTGTTATTAAATATATATATTAAATATATATATATAAATATAACTATATATATATTTCAGAGAGAGGGAGAGGAAAGAGCTGTCAGAACTGGGCTAGGCTGAAACTAGTAGCTGGAAACTCACCCAATTCCCAGGGTGCATATTAGCAGGAAGCTGGGATTAGGAACAGAGTTGGGACTTGAACCCAGGAATCCTGAAATGGGTTGGTGGGTATCCTAAGCAATGACTTAACCACCTGCCCCATTGGCATTTTTAATTAGGTTATCCACTTAATATTTTTTTTTGGACTTAAATTTTCAGCATTTCGCTGAGCTTGTATTTGAGCACTGTGGCTTTGAGTTAACATTCATCTAAAGGAAAACCATGATGAAAAGATGAAATAAAACTTTTCCATTCACATGACTAATAGACTTCCAGTACTGTCATGTACTAGAAAAGATGTGACAAAATGAGTTGGGCATCAAACCCAGGTAGTTGAATACTGAGACATGAGTGTCTCATCAGTGTCCCAACTGACCTGTTAACTGCTAGGCTAAATGTTTGCACCTGAGCTATCTTTTATTTATTTATTTATTTAAATGATTTTATTATTTTTATTGGAATGGCAGAGAGTGAGAGATAGAGAGCTTCCATCCCGTGTTATACTCACCAAATGCCCTGAACAGCCCTTCGCTGGGGCTGAAGCTGGGAGCTGGGGACTCAGTTCAGGTCTCTTATGTGAGTGACAAGAACCCACTTACTTGACCCATCAATTGCTGCCTCCTAGAGGGCACATAAGCAAGAATCTGGGACCAGGAACTGGCACTATGATGTAGGTTATGAAGTCTTAACAGGCCAAATGTTGTCCCCAGTACCTACTAATTTATTATTTTATTTGTATGAGAGTGCTGTCTTCCATCTACTTGTTCACTTCCAAATGCTTTCAATCTCAAGGGTTGAAGCCAGGAGCCTGGAACTCAATTGAGGTCTCCCATGGTGGTGGCATGGACTCTCCTACTATTGAGAGTGTGCATTAGCAGGAAGCTGGAAACAGAATGGAAGCCTAGATTCAAACCCAGGCATTTGGACATGGCATGTGCATATGCTTTGTGATGTCTTCAGCCACTGCATCTAGTTGACTGCACTGCGTCCCCTCACTCATGTTATCTTTTAATAACAAACTTTTGATCTGATGCCCTCCTACTTGTGCTATGTGTGTAATTCAGAAGTTAGACTTCCTACCAACCTATTAAGGGTCATCATTAGAGCTACCGAGCTTTTCTCTAAGTGAAATGTTTCAGTGGCTTTTAACAGCCATCCATCAAGAAGTAGAAGTGTCCCTGATTTCCCACACTCCAGTAGAAGGAATCTACTCTGGTACTGAGGCACTTACGGCTTTTTTAGAGTAGAAAATCAGGTAGTAGTATTTTGTTGATAAATAGCCCATCCTAGGGAAATGTTTGGGAACTCTAGCCCTTTTTATTGTAAGTGAGAATGTAACTCTTAGTGGCCAAGTCTTCAGTTTAGACCAGCTAGCATATGGATGGACTGAGCAGGCACATAGCAATCACTTGAAGGGATTCAAGTGTTCACTGAAGAAGAGAACACAGAGCATTGATCTGGCTATTTACTATTTCCTGACACCAGTTTTCTTGCTTGTCTGTTGAAGCTTCCTGTTATTTCTTTATCTCTTTCCTTTCACATTTTTGCTTGCAGATCTTTTGAACCCTTTGTGAGAAATTGGAGCCCAAGATTCAGTTTGTAGAATTTTGGAAAATTCCTTAAGTGTGGCAGAGGGATAAATGATCTTGTTTTGCTCTTTTACTATTGACATTAATGTTTACTGATTCAAGTAGAATTGATTATTATTTAGACCATGTTACCAGCTTCTAGACTCTTACTTGATGATGGTAAGACAACAGGAACATACTTCTTTTTTTATCAGTTTAGTTTTCCAGGATTTTTTGGTCCTTATCAATTTTTTTCATCATGTCTATTGACCTTCTGTCAGGTAGTGTATTCAGTGCTAGGATAAAAATGAACACATAGCTCCTGTCAGTTTTACCTTTGCAGTGTGGAGGAAGCTATTGCCTCTGGATGTCTTGAAAGATCTTTTGGCTGTAGAGCCCTATTATTTCCATCTCTCCTCTGGGATCATGGTGTAGTGCTTAATTGGCTATCATCCATTCCTTCTGAACTGTGCCTTAAGGATTATCCTCTGGAAAGGCACATCTCAATGGCTGCCAATGCTGCAGCCTTTCTAGGTTCTTTATTAATATGTGTGTTTTTTCATGTTGACCATGAAATCTTTCTTTTTCTCTGACACAGTTGAACAGATAATGGCTCTTAAAAGTAAAATGTGCTTTGAACTGGTAGCCAGAATATCTAAGAATGTCAATATCTCAGAATTACCTTTTCTGGGCCAGTGATCTCTAAGCTGCTCCGAGAGCATCTCTTGGGTTTCCATGTACAGGCCTGCCCACCATCAGTCTGATCATGACTGGGGATTTAATTCTCCCCCACCCCCGACCCCTACCCCTCTGAAACTTGGTTTTAGTGACTGGAATCTCTGTGCAGCAGCTCTCATTTTCTGTGATTGGACCTTGCCCTTTACCAGGAGCTTTAATTTGGTCCATGTACCCCCCCCCCCCCTCCTTTTCCATTCTTAGTCCAGGTGAGGAAAAGTAAGATTGCCTCCCTCTAACTTTGAATAAGAAAATTTACTTAATACCTTTTGGTGTAAGGTTCTGCAACATGCTTTGTACCATGTCACGTCACCATATGAAACCTTTTCTTATGGAAATGAAGGTACATTTGCTTTGTATGTCCAGAGCTTGATTCAGGATGTTGAATTAGAAGAGATAGACTTAATTTCTTTAGAAAACAGAACATAATCATGTCTGGCACCAGATCAATTCTTGTTGGCTCAGTGTTTCAGGCTTTTTAGTTTTGAAACACTGCATAGATAAATTCTGTTGCATCATTGCTTCAATTTGATACATTCCTACTTACATATCAAGAATAATGTGCCTTGAAACAGGCTTGGTAGAACAGAGTAGATAAACAGTTCTAAGAGTATTTTGAGTGAAAGACTTCTTTAACTTGTTTTTAAACGTTAAAAAAATAAAGTTAAGGGTCATTCATGAATTTGTGATGCTTAAGCTTTGAGTTTTATAGAATAGAGCTGGGGATGGGGAGAAACAAATTGGCAGGGCATATACCCTAAGTTGAAGCATAAGAATAATGGACTTGAAATGATACCAGATCACATTCACCTTGATGTTTGCAATAATGGAGGAAATTACATAGGACAGTGGTGATGCACAACTCCTTTATGGAGTTAACGTAACTCTTTCCCTCTATACTATTAGCCACCACATCTGGATATTATGAGGAGGCATGCTATTAAAATATAATAGACTTGAGAGTAGAGAAATATGATCAAGAGATGCAATGTTGTGGCTAAGCTTTGGGTAGAAAGGAAAAAATTGGAGGGGGTTTGGTTTCATTGGGTATGTTAAGACTGTCCTAAACTCTGTAACATAAATGTATGTCTGTCTCCCCCATTTGGCAAGACTTTCTGCAGTGTTCGGCCTCTGTGTTGTTTTGTTAATTAGATTGTAATGTCTGAAAGGGCATGGACACAATCCTGTTCTAACAGCATCTAGTGTAGTCTGGTGTCCACCGTGGTTGCCCCACTCTTATTAGTTAATGATGGTTAGTGAAGCTGAAGCTATTTTTTAAACAGGGCCCAAGGGATGCAGACAGTGATGAAAACGACAAAGGTGAAAAGAAGAACAAGGGTACGTTTGAAGGAGATAAGCTAGGAGATTTGAAGGAGGAGGGTGATGTGATGGACAAGACCAATGGTTTACCAGTACAGAATGGGATTGATGCAGACGTCAAAGATTTTAGGTTTGTATGTTTTATGCTTCTGATTTTTCAATGTGGGCTACGGGTTTTTGTTTATTTTGATACCCCACCTATTTCCTTTTACATTCTCCCCCATTTGCTTTTAAAGATTGGATCTGATATAGACCATGCCTCAAACATTGTGTATTAATTGATAAGGTAGAATTTTCTAAGTGTTGCTGATGCCTGATTTTTTTTTTTTGCCAAAACTGTAGGTTTTGCATTTGTATAGAGTTCTAGAATTTGGAGAATGATTCCATGAAGATTACTTCAGAGATTTTCACATATAATCACATGGGATAGGGGCCTTAGTTCTTTTCCCAAGTTTCTCCCTAATTGCTCTGCTTGCATTAGAGAGCCCTGGTTACTAAGGAAGGTGTGTCCTATCCCTCTGGCATGTCAGAGGGAAAAGCAGGTGAGAACTTGTGCATTCTGCGTTTGAGTCTCATAAGCTTCTTTGAGATAGGGGGATTAGATATCATTGTCCTCATTTTAAAGAACCAGAGATAGATCTTAAAGAACTTATTTTTAATTGTATACCTTCTATGGATGCCCCTCATGACTGGTCATGATTGTTTTGCAGGTTTTACCCTGTAATTTAATATACAGTATTTAAATCATGTGTATTTGTCTTTCCCAATATGCAGGTATTTATGTATGTTGGCAGCCTTTAGTTACTGTACATAATTTTTGAAAAGCTATGATACACAGATAATTTAATTTTGAATAATTTTAATGCCAGTCAAAAGCTAATATGTATGCATATCCCCACCTTTTCTCTTACCAAAACCACAATCAAAATGTGTTTTTACATTCTCATTGTAGTACAATGCCAGTTGTTTAGTATTCCTAATGTAATTTTTGTGCCTTGAATATGTAAAGATTTGTAGTCTTTGGATGACATTTGAGTAATAGAGTAGCACTTACCTGAGGTCTTCCAGGTGAGTTCAGGGGCCTCGCCATGAATCTCAAGGAGCCTGCAGCAGTGTTTTGTGGTGTTTGGGGCCAGGTGATGGTGATGGTGGTGGTGGTGGTGGTGGTGATGGTGATGGTGGTAGTGATGATGAGAGTAGGGTGTGTGTGTGAGAGAGAAACAAATGCAACAATGTCTTTAATATGTAACAGCCACAGATTTCTTTTAGGGATAACGGGTATTGAATGTAGATATAGGCTATACTTTTTTTTATTATAACGTGTTATTTTAAGTCTGATTTTTGGATCAAATAATCCTGCAGCCTTTTTCCATGAAGGGATGGTGTATCCTGGGTTACACAGAACGGTACTTATTTTTTCCTTGTCCCAGGATAATTATCAGTGTTGCCTCTTTTTGCTCTTTGGATGTCCTGATTTTAATGATAAATTGTATCATCCAATTTTAATTTTTAAAATTATCTCCTTAGCGCGGGCATATATTTATGAAACTATTTGTATTATCTCAAAATGATCTGCTTCTTCTGATTTCTTAGAAGTGGGAGATCGTTTTAGCATTGGTCAGTAATAATAATATATAAAACTTTCTTATTAGAATCATTCTTGAGATGTGGAATTTTCCTTAAAAACTGACTTTTTCCATTGGTTCTAGAGTTAAAGAGTAGATACTGTCTTTGGGGACATATTTTTGCTACCTTCATTTTGGGATCTCATTTTTACTGGTACTGTAAGCTGTATTTTTTCTTTTCATTCAGTGTCTTCAAATCTGAACCCCTTGGTAAAGGGAATAAATTAAGTTATTGTAAATTATAATGTAAACTATAGGGGTGGTTTAGGTGGGAAGGCAAACTACTTAAGAATCATTTATACAGAATATACGCCTGTAAACATCTAAAGGGTCTCATTGTTTTTGTAGAAATAGTTTTAAGTAATATTGATAATGAGCTATGTCAAGGACATTGTCCTTAAACTTGGGTTGCTGTAGTGTCCCTCCCCGCTCAAAATAAGGTTTAATGCCCCTTTACTTTCTCTGTTTAGCCGTACCCCTGGTAATTGCCAGAACTCTGCTAATGAAGTGGATCTTCTGGGTCCAAACCAGAATGGTTCTGAGGGCTTAGCCCAGCTGACCAGCACCAATGGTGCCAAGCCTGTGGAGGATTTCTCCAACATGGAGTCCCAGAGTGTCCCCTTGGACCCCATGGAACATGTGGGCATGGAGCCTCTTCAGTTTGATTATTCAGGCACGCAGGTACCTGTGGATTCAGCAGCAGCAACTGTGGGACTTTTTGACTACAATTCTCAACAACAGGTACTGTGTGTGTCTCTGTCACCCTCTCTACTCTCCCTCCAGCCTGCACATTATTCAAGTAACCAGGAATGAGGGGATGGGGGAGGGTGGCAATATTTTAGAAAGCTTGTGTCTTTTCCCTCAAGAAGCTGGTTTTTGTGTCAGAATTACTGGCAAGAGACTGCCCTGCTCCACGAGTACGTACATCCTTTGCCTCTTCTCTGTCCCCAGTGCCTGGGCAGTGAGTGGAGAGGTATTACCAATTGAAAAAAACCCTTTTGGATGCTAAATTACTCTCTCTGAAGGTTTATGTGATTGTGATATTGTTGATTGTTTTTAAAATAATGAGCTTAAAAATATTTTTGGGGGGCTGATGCTGTGGCTTAGTGGGTAAAGCCACTGCCTGTATTGCCTGTATCCTGTATGGGCACCAGTTTGAGTCCCAACTCCTCTACTTCCGATCCAGCTCTCTCCTATAGCCTGGGAAAGCAGTAGAAGAAGGCCCAAGTTCTTGGGCCCCTGTACCCTTGGGGGAGACCGGAAGATGTTCCTATCTCCTGAGTTCGGATTGGCCGAGCTCTGGCTGTTGCAGCCATTTAGGAAGTGAACCAGCAGATGGACGACCTCTCTCTCTCTCTCTCCCTCCCCCCTCCCTCTTCCTCTCCCTTCCCCCCTCCCTCTCCCTCTTTTTGCCTCTGCCTCTCTGTAACTCTGCGTTTCAAATAAGTAAATCTTTAAAATATATATATATGTATATATATGTGTGTGTGTGTGTATTTCTTTTATTATTTGAAAGGCAGAGTGACAGAGACGGGGAAAGAGAGAGAGAAAACTTGCACCCACTGGTTCACTCCCCAAATGGTCCAAAAGACTAGGGCTTGGCCAGGCTGAAGCCAGCCTTCCTGAACTCCATCCAGGTCTTCATGTGGGTGGTAGGGGCCCAAGTACTTGGATGTTTTCTGCTATCTTCCCAGGCACATTAGCAAGAAGCTGCACTGGCAGTGGAGTGGCCAAAGCTTGAACTAGCTGCTCCAGTGTGAGTTGTTATCATCAGCTGTGGCACAGTGCTGGCTGCAAAATAGTGAATTCTGTTATTTGTCATCGTGAGGTGTGCCGGATCTTTCTATCAGTCATATCTTTTATCTAAGTTCTTTACTATAGATCATATAAAGATCTGGTACCTTTCAATGTGATTTGAACAACACATGGACACAAATGACTCACTATAAAATCTACAGTGAGAAATCGGACATCCCTGGGAAATTTTTTATGTATGCTTTTTTCTTTTTTTTAAGATTTATTTATTTATGTGAAAGGCAGAGTTACAGAGAAGTAGAGGCAGAGACAGAGAGGTCTTCCATCCACTAGTTCCAAAGCTAGGAGCCAGGAGCTTCCTTTGGGCCTCCCATGTGGGTTTAGGGGCCCACGGACCTGGGACATCTTTCCCAGGCCATAGCTGAGAGTTGGATTGTAAGTGGAGCAGCAGGGACTTGAACCGGTGGCCATATGAGATGTTGGCAATGTAGGCCGTGGTTTTACCTGCTATGCCACAGCGCCTCCCCATTGTGTTCCCTCTTTTTTATGGCATGGGAGAACTAATTTTAGGTTGTAATGATTCTTATGCTTAATTTTTAAAAAATCCTCCTGAGGCGTTAAACATCACAAGATCATGACTCTTTCGTTTTGGACTGGAATATAAGTATAGACCTCTAGGATGAATAGATTATGGTCTCTATTTAGAAATTCTGTATCTATTGAGAAATGAGTTTATGGTCTTTGGAGATTGGCTGTGCTGTAATATACATGTGTTTTTTTTTTTTTTTTTCATAAATAGCTGAAGATAAATGAGTTTGACAACTAGATAACCAAAATAACTATATGAGGTTGATCAAAAAAGATCCCTTTAGGGAATGATGTGCAGATTCATATCTGTTTAAGTTTTGATTAACAATTTTCTTTTTTCAGAGAGAGGAAACTTAAGTACTATTTTTCCTGTAGTTCTCAGTAGGTGTACCTAATTTCCCTTAAGAACTGATTCTCTGTGCCTTTCCTTTATGGTTGTTTTGTGGCATTATTGGTTCCATGCTTCTAATCCCTGTCAAATCTAACCCTTCCCTTGTTATTTATGAACCTCTTATATACAAAAATCTGAATCTCTTTCATAACCACTATTCCTTATTTTTTTCCCAAAAAACCTTTTATTTAATGAGTACAAATTTTATAACTACAACTTTAGCAATATAGTGATTCTTCCCACCATACCTGACCCCCCCCCACTCCACCCCACATACTCCTTGCTATCCCCTTCCCAGTCCCATTTTCCATTAAGATTCATTTTTCGATTAACTTTGTACACAGAAGACCTACTCTATAATTAAAGCTTTCATGCACACACACGCACACACACACACAAAACTGTTTGAGAACAAGTTTTACAGTTAATTATCATAATGCAACTCATTGAGGACAGAAAATCCTATGTGGGAAGTAAGTGCACAGTGACTCCTGTTGTTAATTTAACAATTAACACTTTTATGTATAAAGTCAGTGATCACTCGAGCCTCTTGACATGAGCTGCCAAGGCTGTGGAAGCCTTTTGAATGCACAAACTCCGTAAGTAATTAGACAAGGCCATAAGTAAAGTAGAAGTTCTCTCCTCCCTTAAGAGTCAAGTACATCCTTCTTTGATGGCCAGTTCTTTGCACTGGGGTCTCTCTCACAGAGATCCTTCATGTAGGAATTTTTTTTTTGCCACAGTATCTTGTTTTTCCATGCCTGAAATGCTCTCATGGGCTTTCTTTCTTTAATGTTTTGTAATTCTCATTGTAGAGATCTTTGAATTCCTTGGTTAAATTTATTCCAAGGTATTTAATCATTTTTTGTAGCTATTGTGAATAGGATTGATCTTATATACATTGTCTGTATATACAAAGGCTGTTTATTTTTGTGTATTGGTTTTATATCCTGCAACATTACCAAACTCCGATAATCTCTTGGTGGAGTCTTTTGGATTCCCTTTATATAGAATCATGTAATCTGCAAATATGGATAGTTTGACTTCCTCTTTCTCAATTTGTATTCCTTTGTTTTCTTTTCTTTCTTTCTTTCTTTCTTTTTTTTGACAGGCAGATTTAGACAGTGAGAGAGAGAGAGACACAGAGAAAGGTCTTCCTTCCATTGGTTCACCCCCCCCCCCCCCAAATGGCCACTGCAGCCGGCGCGCTGTACCGATTCAAAGCTAGGAGCCAGGTGCTTCCTCCTGGTCTCCTATGCGGGTGCAGGGCCCAAGCACTTGGGCCATCCTCCACTGCACTCCCGAGCCACAGCAGAGAACTGGACTGGAAGAGGAGCAACCGGGACAGAATCTGGCGCCCTGACCGTGACTAGAACCCAGGGTGCTGGTGCCACAGGTGGAGGATTAGCCAAGTGAGCCATGGTGCCGGCCTGTTTTCTTTTTCTTGCCTAATGGCTCTGGCTAAAACTTCCAGGACTATGTTGAATAACAGTGATGAGAATGGGCATCCTTTTCTGGTTCTGGATCTCAGTGGGAATGCTTCCAACTTTACTCCATTCAATAGACGCTGGCCTTGGGTTTGTCATAAATTGTCTTAGAGAATATTCCTTTTTTTAAAAAAAAAAGATTTTATTTATTTATTTGAAAGTCAGAGTTACACAGAAAAAGGAGAGGCAGAGAGAGAGCGAGGTCTTCCATCCGCTGATTCACTCCCCAGTTGGCCGCAATGGCCGGAGCTGTGCCTATCTTGAGCCAGGAGCTAGGGGCCGCCTCCTGGTCTCCCACGTGGGTGTAGGGGCCCAAGGACTTGGACCATCTTGTACTGCTTTCCCAGGCCATAGCAGAGAGCTGGATGGGAAGTGGAGCAGCTGGATCTTGCTCGAACAGGCACTCATTTGGGATGCCAGTGCTTTAGGCCAGGGCATTAACCTGCTGTGCCACAACGCTGCCTCGAATAGTCCTTCTGTACCCAATTTGCTTAGAGTTTTCATCATGAAGCAGTGTTGTATTTTACCAAATGCTTTCTCTGCATCTATTGAGATAATCATGTAGTTTATTCTCTTCAGTTTGTTAATGTGATGTGTCACATTGATTGATTTGTGAATGTTGAACCATCCCTACATACCAGGGATAAATCCCACTTGTTCCAGGTGGATGATCTTTCTGATTTATTGGATTCAATTAGCTAGAATTTGGTTGAGGATTTTTGGTCTATGTTCATCAGGGAAATTGGTCTGTTGTTCTCTTTCTGTTTTGCATCTTTTCCGGGTTTAGGAAATAACTTGAGAATAATTGGAGTTAGTTCTTTAAGTGTCTTGTAGAATTCAGCAATGAAGCCATCCCGTCTTGGGCTTTTCTTTGTTGGGAGAATTTTTATTACTCATTCAATTTACATCTTGGTAATGGGTCTGTTTAGGTTTTCTGTGTCTTCATGGCTCAATTTAGGTAGGTTGTATGTGTCCAGGAATCTATCCAGACACATGGATACCGTGCAAAGCTCTCATCTTCTAGATGCAAAGCTCCTATCTTCTAGGTTTCCGAGTTTCTTGGCATACAGCTCTTTGTGGTAATTTCTGGTGATTCTTTTTATTTCTGTTGTGACTGGTATTACATTACCTTTTTCTTCTCTAATTTAATTGATTTGGTTCTTCTCCTTGTTTTGGTTAGTTTGGTGTGTCAATTTTGTTTATTTTTTCAAGAAACCAGTTCTTCGTTTTACTGATCTTGTATTTTTTGTTTCAATTTCTTCTCTAATTTTAATTATTTCTTTTCTCCTACTAGTTTTGGGTTTGGTTTGCTGTTTTTGTTTTTGTTTTTTTTCCTAGATCCTTGAGATGCATTGATAGCTCATTTATTTGGTGCCTTTCCAATTTCTTGATGTAGGCACCAATTACTGTAAACTTTGCTCTTAACACTGCTTTTGCTGTATCCTATAAGTTTTGATATGTTGATATGTCTTCATTTGTTTCCAGAAATTTTTTTATTTATCTTTTGACTTCTTCTGTGA